GAAGCCAGTTTCAAAAGAGCAGGAGGCTCACAAAAGTAATGATTAATTATATTTGGCCCCTGGTATGGGAGACATAAAGTGAAAGTGGTATCTACTAAAGACACAAACACTCCACTAACCCAAGACCCTATGACTAGCAAAACACAAACCCTGTGGGTCATGATGGCGGAGTAGTGCAGGGGCTTGCAGACTGCCACATAGCGGTCATAGGACATCACTGCTAGAAGTGAACTTTCAGTGCACCCCATTACTAGAAAGAAAAACATCTGAGTTGAGCACCCAATAAATGAAATGGTCTTTCTTACAACCAGAAAATGGGATAGCATCTTAGGAACAATAGTTGTAGAGAAACAGAAATCAGTAAATGACAGATTTTTAAGGAAGAAGTACATTGGTGTATGAAGCCGAGTGTCAGTGTGAACTAGGAGTATGATAAGTAGATTCCCAAACACAGTTAGCAGGTAGATGATAAGAAATACCACAAACAGCAGGATCTGGGTCTGATGATCTGAAGAAAGGCCCAGCAAGATGAATTCAGTCAGATAAGTTTTGTTTTCTCTGCACATGGATATTTATGTCTGTCTACAGATTTGAACCATCAAACGTTGACTATGATGGGACATCCAATCCAGTAAGTGATCCTCTCATTGGAAGAACACATGTACTTGATTTTTTAAATTCTTGTAAACATGTAAGACACTGGATTTTCTGATTTCCCATCCTGATATTTCATCTGGAGCCCTTTGGTTGGTAGGTACAGTTACACCAGCATTATGCCTTCTTGGTGATCCTTGCTGGGAGAGTAAATAAATCATAACTGCTGTTTGACAATTGTGCAAATAATACTAGGAAATATCTTCTTGGAAAATTCATGTTATTCATCTGAGGCAAAGAAAAAGAATGTATTATATGGATTTGAGACAATGAAAGGAATTTCCTCTAGTAGAAAGTCCCAGTTATAGTTTACTTTCTAGTTTACTGATTACAGCACAGAACTTACATTTAATTTCATCACATAGCAGATTTAAATAATCAACTTTTACAATTTTTCCAGTGGATTTTTTATCATCTATACAAGCACACCTTCCCCCACTAAAAGGCAATTAATACACAGTTTCCATTGTGATATGATCCACAGTCTTTGTCCTTTCCTAAATTCTTCATTGGATCAGAGAAATAATCTTTGATTGTGATGGTGGTGCTCAAGGGTAAGGCAGGTAGGGTCCTCTGTAGTGGAGCTAAAACCATAAAGAGGCGACTAGCCATAGCAACACCACACATTGTGGGGACCTTCATGAA